CATGGATAAGTACGCCATCACGATCCAGGGTAGCTCCGCTAGCATTCGGGTACGCGCGTTCGTGAAACCAACGCTAGAGCTGGACCTGAAGTCCGCAAGTCCGCAGACCATTGCGCAGTGGCACAGTTGGGGAGTAGAGCTGAGTGACAAGCCTCAACAAGGGACATCAGACGAAATACATATGCTGATTGGTGCAGATTATATCAACGCGGTACTGCACAGCAAGAAGGAAGTTAATGGTGAGACGGTGTGGAACACAGAGATAGGTAATGTATTATCTGGTCCAGCGTCTGCACCAAGTCGTAACAGTCAGCCGGTGACCGTGTCATGTGTCACAGCCCACATCGACAAACTATGGCAGTTGGATGAACCTCCAGAGCAACATCAGCACCTGCCATCTTTCCCGCTATGTCGCCAGGGCAGCGGGTACCAAGTGGGTGTCTTGTGGCGAAATGAGCGTCGCCCAACGGATAACTATGCTCAAGCTAGAGTCATCGCAACGCGGCTTCTTGAAAAGCTGAAGAGGAATGGGAAGCGTGCGCTCTATGATGATGTGCTGATCAGGGAGTACCGCGAGCTTGGAGCAATTGAGCTGGAGCCATGTGAGAGCGATGCCGGGTACTATGTACCGCATCATGGTGTATTCCGCGAGCACGCTGCAACCACGAAGTTAAGAGTGGTGTTCAATGCCTCGGCGACGGCGCCAGATGGCAAGTCGTTGAACGACATGGTTGACCCTGGACCGTCGCTATTGCCGAGTCTCGCAGGTATGCTATTACGGTTCCATGAATATAAGAGCGCGCTGCAAGCGAACATCCGCAAGGCTTTCTTCATGGTCGCGGTTAATCCCGAAGACCGTCCGTACCTGCGTTTCTTGTGGCCCTGTCGCAGCGACAGCGATAAACTGTTAACCTGGAGGCTAACGAAACTGCCATTTGGCGTAAACTGCTCGCCATACATGCTTACTGCGGTGATTCAGCATCACTTGAAGGAGCTACGGGCGTTGTCTGCACCCAAAGAGCGAGATCGTATTGATCTCTTGCTCACGAGTTTCTACGTTGACGATTTGGTCTCTAGTGTCTCAAATGCCTCGGAAGCTAAGGAGATGCAAGAGTTCAGCGTGCGTGTGCTTACGGATGCTGGCATGGAGTTACGCAAGTGGCGAGGCAACGAAATCCCGTGCGATCCAGAGGCCGGAGATAAAGTTCTCGGTCTGAAATGAAAAAACAGTGATGACTTGCTCAGCGTAGCAGCGCTAGGCGAGTCCGATAGGCCGTCTGTTTGGACCCGGCGATCCCTCCTCAAGTGTGTTGCGTCAGTGTTTGATCCGCTAGGTCTAGCAGCACCGGCAGTTGTGCCGGGAAAGATACTGCTACAGCAAGCCTGGAAAGTCGGAGGCGACTGGGATGATAAGTTGCCTGATGGCATCGCAGCCGCATGTGCGCAATGGTGGGGAGAGTTGGCCGAAGTGGTGAGCATTGACATACCACGTTGGATTTGCTGCAATCTTGACACGCCGATTGCGCTTCATGCCTTCGCCGATGCCAGTGAGAGGGCGTTTGGATGTTGTTTGTATGCAGTCGTCAATGGACGGTCGCACTTGGTGTTTGCCAAGGCCAAAGTGGTACCCGTGTCTCCACCCACGTTAGCCCGCCTTGAGTTACAAGCAGTATGTCTAGCGGCTCGCTACGCTGAGTTTGTGGTGAAGGAGCTGCGTGTGACCGTCACGCAAGTCTATGGCTGGACTGACAGTCTCATTACCGTTCATTGGATCAGCAATCCATCGTACAAATGGAAAACATTTGTGGCTAACCGCGTCAGTCAAGTCCAAGAGATATCGAAGAAGGTCGGCATTGTGTGGAACCATTGCCCGGGCCATCACAACCCAGCAGATTTACCGTCGCGTGGGAGTAGTGCACAGCAGATCCGTAGTCCGTTCTGGAGGGGCGGACCAACCTGGATCACGGAGCCCAATGACTGGCCCACCGCATCCTCAACCGCAGCTACAGATGAGTCCAATGTAGAAGTACGAGTGTCAGCCACCACCTGTAGTCGAGAATCTGATAAGGAATGGTGGCTCCGATTCAGTAAATGGTCGAGGGCACAGGGCATGGTGACTCAGATGTTGCAGTGGAAGCACACTGAGCCTCGTGCTGAACTCTATTTTGCAGCAGACAACGTATTGTACCGCATCGTTCAAGCCGCATGTTTCGCTGAGGATCTTGAGCTGATCAAGTAAGGTCAACCAGTGAAGCCTGGGTCGAAGGTGTATCAGCTTGCACCGTTTCTGGATGAGCATGGAGTGCTCAGAGCCGGGGGACGACTTCAGCACAGCGAGTTGTCGTATGGAGCCAAGCACCCAGTCCTGTTAGGCAAACATCATCTGACCGAGTTGCTGTTGGAGAAAATGCATGTTGAAAGGATGCACCAAGGTGTAGAATGAGTCTTGTCGTTCATCCGTCAGAAATTCTGGATTATCGGTGGTCGACGGGCGCTACGCAACATTACTCAGCGATGTGTTACATGCCGCCGCTACAAGGCTAAGGCTGCCTCAGAAGTCTGCCCGCCGCTGCCGGAAGACCGAGTTGTTCACGAGAGGCCGTTCGCAACTACCGGCATCGACTATGCTGGTCCGTTGTACGTGCGCCGTGGGGAGTCATCTCCGAAGGTATGGATAGCATTGTTTGTGTGTGCCACCACCAGAGCAGTTCACTTGGAGGTGGTCGATAGTTTAAGTACTGAGTCATTCTTGATAGCATTTCGGAAGTTTGTCGCGAGACGTAGTTTGCCGTCTCGGATCAGGTCTGACAACGCTACAACGTTCAAGGCGGCATCTGACAAACTGAGTGTGCCATGGATGTTCAATCCTCCAGCTGCACCATGGCATGGAGGCTTCCATGAGCGAATGGTTGGTACAGTGAAGAATGCCTTGAAAAAGGTAATGGGAACAGCGTTTCTGAAGGTCCAGGAGCTTGAGACCCTCTTGTATGAGGTTGAAGCAGTGGTGAATAGTCGTCCGTTAACTTATGTGTCTGATAGCCTGGATGAGCCACCAGTAACCCCTGCAATGATGATGGGTAACATCTGGATGTCGTCAGAGAAGCCAGCAGGTACCCTGGATGCTGCGCAGATGTCATCGAGATTGCGTTACCTCAGTCGGACACTGGAGCATGTCAAGAATCGTTGGGAGGTGGAGTACCTAAGTCAGCTGAACAAACACCAACAGACCATGTCACGCCCTTTAGCTGTGGGTGATGTTGTCTTTGTTCTCGATGATACCAAGCGCAAACAGTTCTGGCGTTTGGGACGGATCATCGAGTTATTCCCTGGTCGAGATGGTAGGCGTCGTGTTGCCAAGGTTAAGTTGGGTACCAGTACCCTGTTGAGGCCGATCCAAAGGTTAGTGCCGTTAGAAGTATCGTCACAGCACGTGGCTCCTGGGCTTGCAGATACCGCTCAACCTGCTATTGTCCCTCAGCAGCCAGTGTATGAACCGTCAGCACCGTTACCACCACCACGGCAGCAGGAGATGACGCGTTCTGGGCGCATAGTCAGAGTCCCGGATCGTTTTTGACTTGTGTGCATTGTTGTACGGCGGTGAGAAGCCCTTTGGTGGGGAGAATGTTGCAAACCACCAGTTCTCAATTGGGAAAGGCCTTCGCGCTTATGGCATTGTATTCGTTGCAATGTTGTGTTTCGACTCCGCCGTACCGCTGATGTTGCTGCATGGCATACGCTATATGCGCTATGTGCGTTTTGCTGTATATGCTGTTATGTCCAGTTTTATGCGTATGTTTTGCATGTACGCTGTTTTTGCATGCTATAAATAGCTGGTGTTATTAGTGTTCTTTGTTAATTATTCGATGAAGTGAAATATACTGTGTAAAGGAAAAGAGTTGTCCTCGTGCCGTGTGGTCGTACGATCCTGACAATTTAGAGAATCTCAGAGGGTTCATAACACTTGGTGACCAGCTCCCCGTGAACAGCTGTTCTACTAGTAAACAACTTGATTTTGATAACCAATGGAACCTTTGACTCTCTATCAAGTTTTGCATGAAAAACAGGGTCTAGGAGGCAAAATACACATGTCCGATATGTGAAAATGGTCAATATCAGCAACATTTGAATTCAAGGCTATGAGTATGAGTACTTCCCCAATGCTCCAGTTTTGTTCCAAGGACATCCCTGGACGAAGTAGAGCATCAAGAAAGACTCAATAAAGCATTCGAATGAAAATATGTCCTGATTTGATGTGTGTTTAAAAATCAGCAAAATCGCAAAATCGTATATTTTTCTAGCCACCATACTTCAAGATTTTGCCCAATTACCCCCCCCCCCCCCCCCTCCGGGCTGTTTGTTCACGGAGTACACATGTAGGAAGGTGTGGAAAAAGTAAAACTGAACAACGTTCGGAGCAAGTTTTTCCTATTGAGCTGCCTTAACAGTTAGAAACTCTTTGCGACTGCAGGGGCGGTTTTCCATTTTGGGCTCCGCTTGTTTTCAGTCAATCACAGTGAAAGATCAGTTTGGTGTTCCAGAACCCGCGAGGAGAGATTCTTCCTGTCAGTCTTGCTCAACATGTGAAAGGCATTTTTCTAATCCACGAAGAAATGGAAACGTAGTCTATGCCGTCGACTGCCCCGTGACTGATCACGGAGAGTAGACACAAAGTATGACTTATGTGGACAAATAAAAAGGGGGTTTGTCAGCTGACAACCGCTCTATTTATTTGCTGTTCACTCTTGGTGAATGCGCTGGATGAAAATTATTTTATTAGTGATGTCGAACAAATTATGGACGTTTCGGGCCAGTCTGACAATGGGTGACTTGCCCGAAATGTCAATATTTTTTTCGACATCACTATAAATAAAAGAATTTTCATCCAGCGCATGCGCAAAGAGTGAATACCAACTGAATAGAACGGTTGTCAGTTGACAAACCCCCATTTATTTGCAATGCAGTTGCGTGATGTTCACGAACTTTTCAACAATCATACTTACAGGTAGCTCAAAGACGGTAAGTTTTTAAACGTGTCCTTTGATAAAGTTGTGATTCTATTATCCTGCAAATTTCTAATAATGAAGCACAAATGGATGAAAGCGATAATGAATCTGTCATCTCAGAACAATCGGAATAAAGTGATAACACTCAGTCTGTCGTCAGTTCCAGGACATAATCTCTCTTTCATTTGACTCGACTAGACCACACGATGCTTGCAGACGAAAGAACAAACAGTTCCCCAGCCCCATTTCACGATAGCAAGAAGTGCACACGTGTGAAGAAGAAACAAAGCACTCACTTTGTGGTTTCACGAATACTCGTTAGGACAGAATTATTAGTTACACACTCGGCAAGTAAAGATAGGAAGTGAAAAGAGCACAAGAAAAGAACAATGCAAGAAGACAAAACACGCGGCGAACGGCAGCCATGTTTTTAGGTCATCAACCAATCAGTAATTTATATAAACCGGTTGCCGACGAAATTCTAGAATATTCCAGAGGTGTGAACTGTGATTGGTTAATTATGCCAATGTTCTAGAACAATAACACTAGCAGCAGTCATACGGGTAAATACGGGTTTAGCCATACACGACTCATACATTACTCACGAGCGACTCACGGAAAGGGTAATAACATGCAGATACAAAATACGCAAGGAGAGAAAAAATGTAACTAACTGCCCATCTTGGGGTTTGAACCTAGGAATCTGTATCAACCCAAGCTCTACAAATAAATACTCTTTTACTGCGAAAATTATACTTTCTATTAAAATGCAACTCCTACATTACTTTTGATGTTGCTGTTTCCTTTCCCGTATTAAAACCATGATAAAGAGTTTTTGGTTTGGGGTTTTCAATGTTTAGGTTTTATTTCTCTTCTATAAACATTGCTATGACAGAGCTCCAGGCTGCTTCTCATCTGTTCGTCTTCAGTCAAGATGGACCTTCCTCCAGTGAGTTATTGCGGCCGACCCTCAATTGTTTGGGCCACTTTGCTTGTTGAAGGTGATCTCAGGAAATTGTTGTCCCTGCCCTTGAAGTCGGGTGGTTTGGTAGTCGGCATATCTGGTCACTGAGTGGAGGCAGATCATCAGCTGTGCCGTGTTACAACTGAGCCGATGGCCCAGTCGGTGTTATCTCCTGTCCCTGGTCCTGCCGCAGTCATCGCATCCTGCAGGACTCTTGCTTCTGCGGCGCGCACAGAGCGTCATGCTCAGCAGCAATCTGTTCTGACCAGCATCAAGCCCTCTCTGCTAGAACAGCAGCGGCTCCTAGTCGAGGTTGCCGGCGATGGTGGCAGATCAACCTGGCTAGGTACCCCGCCCACGGTCTTAACCCCAAGCAGCATTTTTAACAAAAATGACTTTCGGGATGCTCACTCACGGCCATCTTTGCTGTGGCGATCACAAAAATTGAGCCAGTTGGCTGATCACGAGCGCCAGAAGAAGCGCCAACATGCCGAACGTATCAACAGGGTTGATCACGGATCGTTCACGCCCTTGTGTTCGCCACGAATGGCATGTGCAGCACAGAGACCGTTGTTTTCCTGTGCACTTTGGATTCACGAATTGATGACCGTCACTGTGACCTACCGTATTCCCTGGTTGTGCGGCAATTGCGCTCGAGGATAAGTTTGTGCCTTGTGCGATGTGCGATGGCAAATTACCTGCCTTCGTGGTGCAAGGCGTGTAACGTAACAATATATGCGTTATACGGGTGATAGCAACTTGAAGTACATGCGCAATACATGAGTAGCTAGCATGATACATAACGTCCCTTCTGAGATAGAAATATAACAATTACATTTACATACATGTATCTCACGCCCCTTCTGAGATGACAACAAGGCATCTAATACGAACAAGAAAGGACGGCAAAGCAGATAGAGATAACTGAATATGAACATAGCTGAGCGCAACAAGAGACAGAAATACGCACAGGCAGCTACCATATTTTCCGGGGTATAAGCGCTCCGGGGTATAAGCCGCACCCCCTTTTTGAGGCAAAATATTGACTAAAAGTTGGTATTCGGAGTGTAAGCCGTGCCCACAAACCAAGATTTTTCACACTCATTGCCAAATGGCCTTTCTACAAATTTATTATGGTTATGGACCTAAACACCATGTTAGATCAGATTATGAAGTGTTAGTGCACCACAGGTTGCTGCAGAGATGTTGGTGTATTGCTGTGTTGACTACAGATCACTCCATGTCATCTGCACTATCTTCAGTCTCGCTGCCACTGATGTTGATCAAAGCTACCTCTGCAGCGATGCCGTCGCCGTCTTCATCGCTGCCGGAGTCTGAATCATTGTGGTCCTCAAAGATCATGTCATCTTCAGTGCCATCCAGTGCATTTGAAATTGAGCACTTTTGAATGATTTGGCGACCATTGTAGTTGGGATGGCCTTCCATGACTCATCCACCCATTTGCATACTTTGGAAATTGATGGTTTCTTCATACGGCCTGTTGGTGTAAACTCATGGTTTCCACCAATGATCCAGTCCGTCCAGTGCTGCCTGATGTGGCACTTGAATGGCTTGTTGAGGCACACATCAAGTGGCTGAAGCTGGGATGTCAGACCACCAGGGATAACAGCAAGGTCGGTCCTTGTTTCACGAGCACGTCTTTTGAAGTTCTCTACTAGATGTGCACGAAACGAGTCAAAGACAAGGCAGTTTTGAACAGGGGTGCTCCCACGGCCACCTTGCCTTGCACACCAAACCTTATCCAGCCACATATCCATTCCAGCTTCATCCATCCAGCCTTTGGGGTGAACGTGGACAATGACATCAGGCGGCACTGCATCCTTTGGCATAGTCTTTCGCTTGAAAATGACAAATGGCCGTAACTTTGTCCCATCGGCAAGGCATGCTTAAGCCACAGTAAAGTGCTCTCGTTCATGCCCTGTCGTTTTGATGTGAATAGTCTTCGCTCCGATTTTGTCGATAGTGCAGGACAAGGGCATGTCGAAGTTCAGAGGCGTTTCATCTATATTGCCAATCTGATCTAGCGGATACTTGTTCTGTTCTCTCAACCTGATGACGTTGGGCTGAAAGGACAGAATCTTCTCCTCAAACTCGTCCGCCAGTCGCTGGCATAGGTGAGTCTTCGCCCGGATAACAAGGCTATGTCGCTTCATGAAACGATACCACCAACTAACAGTTGCGTTGAAACTTACGGTGTTCATCTCCTTTGCGAAGACTTTCGCTTTTAGGCGAATCATTGTGCCACTCAATCCAATCCCATCTTGTCGATTTTTCTCGATCCATTCGAAAACCTTACGCTCAAGTTCATTCCATCGTGGCTCGGGTCCAGCATGTAGCGATTTGGACGCGACTTTCTTCTTCGACAGCTCAACTTTCTGTTTCCGCCACCTACGAACCATCGACTCATCGATGTCGAAGTGTCTCGCGCAGGCCCGATTTCCATGCGCTTCGGCGAAGAGCACAGCGCGTATCTTCTCCTTCACGGTGTATGTTGTCCGCCGCGACATGGTCAACTCCAGGACACCATCGAAGTACCGGCAAGAATAGCTAAAGAAACAAAATAATTTGAACGACTGAAAGACGAATTGAAATGTTTGGAAACAAACATTCGTTCCGTTACAGCTATGTACCAGGCCAGGGAGTACCCTGTTCACAACAGGGAAAGATTCCAGCCGGCACTATTTATACACAAAAAATAGTATTATCGTATCGCTGTATACTAGGATGTGTGGAAACCGGCACTTGCAGTACGCAAAATAGAGTCCCCGTATACGCGTACCGTATGGTGTAGCCCGCGCACTAAAACTAGTAAAAGTCCAGGGATAGCAACACAGGCGCGAAGCTCAGTCGAATGACATGTCACATGACGTCAGCATGCATACTGATGTATGCTAAGCATTCATCCGCGCAAGCATATTCAGTGTATAAGCCGCAGGGGTGATTTTGGTCCGATTTTTAGCGAAAAATGCGGCTTATACCCCGGAAAATACGGTAATCATAAGTTTGGCCACGAGTGCTCGAAATATTTAGCCTAGACGTGGGTGACGGCTTCGTTGACTGCACTGGACTGGTGGGCAGGCTGAGTGAGTGGGTAGCAGGCATTGGCTGTGCAGGTGCTACGGGCAAGACAACAGGACGAAGAAAGCGACGGTTTCGCCAGTGTATCCGGCCACTGGGAAGCTTGTCCATGTAGTCGCGTTGGCTCCCAATGGCGACAATGGTACCGCGGGCGTTCCACAATTTGCTGCGGGAGTCTTGTAGATCCACGGGGCAACTAAGGAGGACGGGAAGCAGCGAATGGGTAGATTGGTGTCACAAGCAGTATTGACAGGCAAGATGCTGCTGCAAGAGGCCTGGAAGGAACAAGGCAAGTGGGATGATCTGCTACCTGCTCCACTTGCCCAGCGCATAGCGACATGGTGGGGAGCCCTCGCCGTGCTTCCTGAGTTTTCGGTACCAAGATGGCTGAATAGTACTTTGGACCAGCCAGTACAGCTGCATGTATTCTCCGATGCCTCGGAACACGCGTTCGGCTGCTGCATCTACCTGGTTGCGGCAGACAACTCTAGTCTCCTATTTGCCAAGACTAAAGTTGCACCATTGAAGCAGCTGTCTCTCGCCCGGCTCGAGTTGCAAGCATGCATGCTGGGCAGTGATTCTCTGCAGTTTGTTGCAGCTGAACTTCGACTCAAGGTCGCCGAAGTGCACGCGTGGACAGACAGTTTGACAGCGTTGTACTGGATCTTAGGCCAGCCACACCGGTGGAAGACATGGGTAGCTAATCGTGTGTCGACCATTCAGCGAACGGCAGACAAGTTGTGCGTGGAGTGGCACCATTGTCCCGGTGTGGATAATCCAGCTGATCTGGCCAGCCGTGGTGCAGAGATCACCACACTGCAACAGTCCTTCTGGCAGCGTGGTCCGACTTGGCTGTGTACTCGAGACCAATGGCCGCAACTCCCTGCTCCGAAGCCATCGGATGACTCAGTCAAGGAAGTCAAGCTGAACGCGGTTCAGGTGGTAGATCCGTCCGTCAAACCATGGTGGGAACGTATGTCCTCTGCAACGAAGGTGAAAGGAGTAC